TCTTTTGTAAGATATGATTGGTCAACAATTTTTACATCATTTTCATTGGGGTCTATCTGTTGGTTTTTTATATTTTTCTGAGCTGGGATATTTTTATTTCTTTGAGCCAACTCCTCCTGTCTATTTTGATCAACTGAAGCTTTCCATTTGGAACTAGACTGTAGTATATCAGGTTGGATTGGTTCCTTGTCAACTTCACTTATTCCATTTGGGGATTCATCCAGCCAGCCAGCTTCTTTTATTGCAATTTTTGTAGCATTCATTTGCTCTTGATTTGCCCTTCCATATTTTCCAAGTGCTGTATATTTATTTGGAATATTCTCTTCATCATTTTCATAATACTCTGCATCCCCAAAGTGAGCACCATCATATGCATTTAATTCATCAAGATCCAACATTGTCTCATTTGACATCCACTGGGGAAATATTCCTTCTGAATCTCCCTTTTTTTGTTGAGCAGAAAAATCATCTCTAGCATCATTACACTCATATCTAATATTAAAGTTCTGCATATATTGCCTCTGTTGCACTGTGAATTCATAGTCATTGAAGGTTTCATCCCAAGTGTCTTCCTCAGATTTCAGATCATGACCAGTTCTCCAAGGCTTGAATAAAGCAAGCATGGTGGCACAATAATACTCTCTGTCTCCTCTGTCACATCTTGGCAGTGAGCCTCCAACAAAGTTTGGGACAACATTACTTTTTTTCTCATTAAATTGAGCTTGATGTGTTTTATAGAGAGGATGGTCTCTAAGAAATGGGTAGGTTATTCTGCTTTCGCTGACAAATTCATCATCACTATCATCAGCTTCAATACTAGTTGAGTGTTTATTTATATTAAGCTCATCTCCATCATTATCAGAATTATCAGAATCATCAGAATCATCAACTAGTTGTGGTAGTACTTCAGTACTTGCTCAATTTTTTCTAACAAGTCAAGTTCATCATCTGAATCTGTGATTTCATCATGCTCTTGGGAGCTATTGGCTACTTTGCATCTGGCAGACATTTGAACCCATTCATATAGTGTCTTATCTTCAAATATTGTTGGTCTATAGATGTAATCATGAACTGATGAAAAGCCCACATATTCACCTTTGCTTTTTTGAAGTACAAGTTTTTCAGGTATCTCCTCTTCCAAGTCTTCCTCTGATCTGAAGGGTTTTAGAGCTTCCCTCACAAAGTTTTTCCAGTAGACCACTACAAATTTGTGACTGGTATAATGATCAGGATTTCCCAAAAGATATAGAGCAGCCATAGGACCTCCAATTTCCATTCTAGCTGTTAAACAGTTGCTAGCCTGTGTTACAATTTTTCTTGCCTTTTCTTTTCTTTCTAAAGACCCTCCCAACATTTCAGAATTTCTGTCATATACACTCTTAATAGCATCAAATATTGCATAAGTTTTTAACCCAGGCTTAGTCACATAATCTGAGATATATGCCACTATAGCTTTGATGGCTGTTCCAGATAGAAGGCTTGTTACATCTGAGTTACATCTGAGCAGATAAGTGACTGGAGGAGATAGTGTATTAATCCATTCCTCTCCAT